ACATTGTAGAGCAAGATGGGGCCAGGGCTTCCAGCTCCCCAGTCCTGCTAACTCAGTACACTGGCACACACATTCAGCATATAGAAGGTGTGATACAGAGACAAATAAATTTTAGGAAACTGAAAAGATTATTTTAGGAGAAAAACAGAGACTCCATTTCCAGTGAAGAAAATATGAGGGCTATAAAAGCACATTCTTCATGGCTGTTTTCTATACCAAAACCTACAGAAACAGTGAGATTTAAAAAACAAATGTCTTTCACAGCAGGTTGAGGTTTAGATTTTTGACCAAGCCAGAAGCAGGGGACAGAGCACAGCAGGTCAGTGCACGGCCAAGGGTGCCAGCCCTGAGCCAGCAGCAGCCTGGATGACTGTCCAGCCTCCAGCAGCCAAAGGCAAGCATGGGCCACACTTGTGCTCTCAGCTCTCCTGGGAGATATCAAAACTGTGGGAAATGGAAAACCAGAAACTTCCACAGACACCGGAGGGTTTGCTTTGCAGCCCTGGGAGAAGCTTGGATTGATGTAAAAATAAAGTACACAGACATTAAGCAGAAAAAATATAAACTTAGGTTTCTATAGTGGTAAGTAAGAACATACCTTTAGATAGTGAGAAACTGCATTGATAAGATGGTGAAGGGTTTATAGTGTAGGGGTGTGGTTGGATAGAGTAGCTGAGAGTTTAGATGTTATAATAGAAGCATTTGTGTGTATGTGAGATAGGAGCCCATCGGTAAAAGCACCCGCAGTGCAGCAAAATTAAGTAAAAGTGACAGGTTAGAAAAGCAAAATAAACCCAGTGGCAACTGTCCATTGGATCAGAAAGTTCTATATTGCCTTGTAATGAAGAACTTGTTACTACTTTGAGCTATGGCTGAATGCTTGCTCCCCTGAAATCTCACAGCCTCTGAGACTGATGTTTATCTTGGCAATAAATCATTCTTAGCCCCAAAATAGTCCCATCCCTTTAATTAATGCAGTGATAATAATAAAGACAAAATTAGACTAAAGCCCACAGCACCATTCGGCAGCATCATTTTTACACAGCTCTTTGCTTTGCCCACCTCCAGAGGGTGATCTGATGACAAGCACAGCCCACAGTTACGTGGTACAGCCAAGTCACCATCTGCTGATGGGGTGCAGCAACACTTCAAGGCTGATGGGTGTGATTTAGTTTTGCAGTTTTCTGCATGTGTGCCTCATATGACTATCTCAGGTTTCCTTGACTGACCAGGGGAGCCTTGTAGTCAAAAGCAATGCTTCAAGAAGAGTTACAGAAGTGGGAGGATATTCAAAATTTCTGGCCTTGTAAGATGAAAATAATAATTTCCTGCTGCTGGCAAGAAAATGGAAACCTTTCCTTGCTTACCTGTGAAGCCATTCCCTGGTATCAACAGTCTGAAAACTGCAAGCTTTTCTCTTTGACAAAAGGATAAAACACTTCAAAAGTCAAGAGAGTTCACCTGAGCAGGGAGCACTGCCCGGGTGGGACCTGCAGCAGCAGCAGTCCCCCACGGGCTCTGAGTTGAAGCAGTGGCCAAAAGCAGCTGCTCCTCCCGTGCAGCAGGGTTTGCAGATGTGCAGGGCAAGCACTGCACAGCTGCCTGGAGCCCAGCCCTGCTCAGGGTATGGACCCCTCCAGAGCCCTCCTCCCACGCCAGCCCCACAGCAGCCTGACCTCCAGTTAGAAAACATCAGAAAAACATTTGTCCTCTCTGGCCTTATCTGAAGGAAGAGGTTGTTGGGTTTCCTTGTCTGGAATCAATGGCAATCAATAGAACCCAATGGAGCTTTTGGTTTTCCTTGAGGTGCTCCACACGCAAGCATCACCCACCACGTCCCCAGGTGTTTCCTGGCATGGGGGTGGACAGAAGGACCTCAGGAAGGCACAAAGGAACTGGGATTTGTGTGGGGATACAGAGCCCTGGCAGCTGGTGCTGATGCCTTTCAGTGCCTCTTGTCAGGAGCCTCAGAACCAAGTGCCCATGATGTGAAATGCAGCTCCTCTCTGGTCTCCAGCCTTGCCTCCACCCCAGTGCTGCTGTTTGGATTCACACACAGCCTGAGTGAAGTTTTACACATGGCAGACTCTCAAACAATCCACACCCAGAGAATGTGCTGTACAAAATTCTTATCAGCTCCATGAGATACAATGGAAGAAGATAAATGTGAGCTTTCTGTCTGAGATGGCTGTGAATAAATCTGAGCTACTGATGCCTGTGGGTGGCTCTGAGTGAAATATTCACTTCTCACTAATGGAAATATTTTGATTAACAACTTTATTTGCCTAGTGGCAAATACCACTTTTTTCCTTTTAAATCACAGACAAGTGTCATAAAAGATTTCATTTGCACATTAACAAGATATTTATAAAGTACTTGGTATTTGAGTTCCCTCAGCAGGCAATTACAAATATGTTCTATTTTTTGAACGGTTTTGGTTAGGCTTTTTAATTAGTCTCAAGGTGACTTCCAACACTCAAATACATCCCCACAGATTCCCCATAAAACTGCTTGTAATAATTAGTTCCTTGTGCTTACTGCAGCACTTCTCAGCCCAGGCACTACACAGCAGCCACTGAAAGGTCTGCTTTTCAAAACACCCTGAGAGCACTCAGCAAGCCAGGCTGAGGCCCAGGCCAGCAGTGTTTATTTGCAGTGTGATTTAATTTGGAGTATGTGTGAGCCCCGAGTCCAGAGGAGGAAGCTGCTGTAAATCACTTTAATTCGAGTGCTGCCTTTGGCCATGGATTCAGGGAAGGAGATTCTGTCAGCCCCTCTCATCCCTGGCCCCAGTGCCTGTGGGTACAGGCACATTTCATGCTGGATCTCTCCTGGCAGGACTGGGGCAGTGGCTCTGGGACCTCTGGCAGCTGCTGCCCTCTGGTCACACCGGGGCACATCCCCTCTCCCTGCCTCTTGCCCAGGATACTCCCATTAAAATCTGGGTTTGGAGTAAGCTGGAGGAGGCTGCTGTGGATGCAGAGCACTTTTGTTGGTCCTGCTGATGCCTTAGGATTTTAGCTTGTATATTTTTCATATTTTTGCAATCCTGTAATTCTTAGTCTTTAAACTCCACACACAGTGTGAGCTGCTGCTTTCCCATTTTGGGCAGACACAGCAATTCCTCTCCAGGCCTGGCAATCAAGGACACCTCACTGCCTCAGGCCAGAGAGATGGAAACAAAAGTGAGTTGGGGGGAGCAAACTTGGGGTAAATGACTTCATTACATGAAGCTGGAATTGGAAAATGAACCCCCAATATGCAAATGGTGCAAATTTATAAAAGTGTGAAAACCTGTGAGCCATGGTCCATTTTTGGGTGTAGCCCCTGGGGGGCTTTTTCTGCCATGAAGACCCTTCAATAAATAAAACTGCTTTTGATTCCCTTAATTCTGTCTGGCCTCTGGTTTTGGGTAGCCCCAGAAGGCACCTCTGGCCCAGCTGTCAGGGACACTCAGTGCACACCAGAGCAGCCCTGCCCAGCTCCTCTCCAGCCAGAACAGCTCAGGTGCCACTGCCAGCCCTGCCCTCAGTGCAGCCACCCCAGAAGCTCCCAGGTGGGGGAAACAGTAAAGAAAAGAAAATTTTCAGAAAGCTAGGAAAGCAAACCTTAGAAACAGAAGGAGCAGAGAAACTTGGAATCAGCTGCAGCTGCAAAGTCTGGAGGTAGAAAAATTTACAATAGTATAGAAAGCAAGGACATGAAACAATGAGTTTCATTGTTGAATGAAACTAATGCAGTGATAATAATAAAGACACTAAGCTTGAGTCTTAGACTTAGCTAAGATAGACCCTAAGACTGCAGAAAAATGTGATTTGAAAGATAGTATAAGGTTTTAAGTATAGTGTAAGGTTTTACAATGGAGTAATGTGTATAGGTAATAGAAAGAAGACAAACATTGTGTAAAGCAGGTGTATGTGTGCTTTTAGTAACTGGCTAAAACAACTGCCTGTAAGCTTTAGCAATGTGCAATTGGGTAAAAAGGTTTTAAGATGCTCTGTAACAAATAAATCTTTGGCTGCTGCTGGCTGTACCTGAGTTTTGCCATCTTGCCATTGTCTCAACCCTGTCATGAGGCTGATGCTGCTAATAAAGCTCAAGGAATGCATCCCAGCAGTCCTGTCCTTTTTGTGGGAACTCAAAATGTCCCTCAGACATTTTTGGAGGTTCCAGGCCCAGGTCAGAAGCATTTGAGACCCTGGCAGGCAGCTGCAAACAGCTGTGATTTTGGGTTTGAGCCATGGAATGATTTACCAACCTTGCAGGAAGAACAAGCAGTCACAAAAGTTTAGATATTAGAGTAGAAGTAGCCACAAAGTAGAGGGAAGAATTTTTTAGTGCTGTACAGGGGGGTTTTAACACCTGTACAGGGGGCTTTGGTTTTGCTCATGGGGGTCAGAGGTTTTAAGATGGAGGAATGTAGGCCAGTCCTGTTTCTCCTCTTTCTTCTTCCTTACCTCCATGTTCTTGTTGATGCTGGCACTCACAGATTGGTTTAGAGTAGAAAAGCACCATTTAATATAGGTAATAGGCATTGTGGAAAAACTGTAACCATGTAACACGTAATGTACCATATAAAAGATAGAAAAGCACCATTTAATATAGGTAATAGGCATTGGGAAAAACTGAAACCATGTAATATGTAATGTACCATATAAAAGGCAGCAGCAGCCCTGGGTGGGAGAGAAGAAGCAGTTGGGGTCAGAGAGGATGTCAGGGTGTGTGTGTGCCTCTGCCTGAGCTGCTGAGCAAACCACAGCAGCCCCAGAAGAAAATCTTTTAGATAACTTGCAATAAACTGCCTTGAGATTGAACAACAGAGACTGCTGAGCCTTTCTTTGGAAGCTCGGGTGGGAGGAGAGACTTTTCCAGCACACGCAGCCACCCCCGACCCAGGGTGGTCTTTGACACTTTTCATGAAATGACCACACCAACACACCAGGCCCTCCCTGTCCCCAGGGCCAGCAGTGCTGATGCCTCCCCTGTGCCTCTGTCCCCAGGTGAGCAGCGTGCCCAGGGGGCCGGGATGGGGCCGGGAGCAGCACATCCTGCTGATGGTGCTGGTGATGGTGCTGTGCTTCCTCCTCTGCTGGCTGCCCTATGCAGCTGTGGCACTCCTGGCCACCTTTGGGCAGCCTGGCCTCATCACCCCTGCAGCCAGCATCATCCCAGCCAACCTTGCCAAGAGCAGCACTGTCTACAACCCCATCATCTACGTTTTTCTGAACAAACAGGTCAGTGAAATGTCCCCCTTCCTTCACCTGGATTCCAGGTATGCAAAGAGTGAAAAAACAGCCAGAGGAGATAAAGAGAGCATCAGTGACATCACCTAAATCCATGAAAGGGAAGCTCTTAAAAAGGGCTCCAAGGAGCAAATTTGTTTGACAAATCTGTGCTTTGGGCAGCTGGACAACCAGCTCCCCAGATGTGCAAAGAGCAAATGATAGACTTTCCTTTCCTTTCCTTTCCTTTCCTTTCCTTTCCTTTCCTTTCCTTTCCTTTCCTTTCCTTTCCTTTCCTTTCCTTTCCTTTCCTTTCCTTTC